ACTGTGAATGTCATAATACTGTTTGCTTTTACTGCAATAAAATACACAGTGATGTCTCACGTGTAAAACAGTACCCCCTTTGTACAGGTTTTATGGTGTTTGTGGGACGTTACAGGGTCAAATATAGCATGTTACATTTTTCAGTTTTTTCACATTGAAATTCACCAGATTGGTTACGTTGCCTTTGAGACCGTATGGTAGCCCAGGAATAAGAATTACCCCTATGATGGCATACCATGTTCAAAAGTAGACAACCCAAGGTATTGCAAATGGGGTATGTCCAGTCTTTTTAGTAGCCACTTGGTCACAAACACTGGCCAAAGTTAGTGTTAATATTTGTTTGTGTGTTAAAAATGCAAAAAACTAATTTGAACGCCAATTTTGACCAGTGTTTGTGACTGTGTGGCTACTAAAAAAGACTGAACATACCCCATTTGCAATACCTTGGGTTGTCTACTATTGCAAATGGTATGCCATCATGGGGATAATTTTCATTCCTGGGCTACTGTACCGTATACACACACAGCTAGAAAGTTACTTGGCTCTATCTATCTTTCTTATTTATTTGAAGAAAGACTAAAGGGTCAGCAATATAAACATATATTCCTAACCCTATAGTGTTAAAAACAATACTTAGGTCCCTCTATCCACCCCCCATACCCCTTACCACCCTAAATAGCTGTAGAACTCACTTTAATTCCAGTGGCGCATGGGTGTCCTGGTGCTGGCTGTGCCGCCTTCTTGGCTTACATCATCAGAATTAGTCCCCCACAGAGATGCATTGATTCAGTTTTTCCTGTGGGGAAAGTTCAGCGTCACCATGGAAAGATTGCTGAATGTCAGTGCTCAGGGGCGGACTGAGCACTAGGGCAAATCGGTCATGGACCGAGGACCCGAGGCTCTGGGGGACCAGCCTGGTGCAGTGCAGTAATGGCTGAGCTGGGGAGTTAATTTTCCCAGCCAGCCTGCACTCAGTAAGGGGCCCGAACAGCCGTCCGCAGGCTCCTGCTGCTATAGGTCTTCTTTACCTTGCAGGGCACACTGAGGGACAGCTAAGGGGCCTTCCCAAATACCCCACTAGGCTGCCCCTCAGTGAGCTTGTTTCCGTACACAGGCTCACTGAGCTGCCTGTAACAATGCTCAGGCCAGCTCCGTGCGGCCTGTTCTGCAGGAAGTGACATCAGCCCTGAGCAGAGTTACATGCAGCATGTCAAGATTCTGTGCCGGCTGGAGCGGTGAGGGACTTCCCAGGAGAGGATTTCTGGACCACAAGAGAGGTAAGACTTGGAAGGGGTACTTTATGTCTTTTTTAATCTTTTTTTTTAATTAAAAATATTTTAATTATATAATTTCCCCCACTACTGCCCCATCACAGCCCCTACCCCCTTGCTCCCTCTGCAGCTCCTATCCCCCTGTTCCCTCTGCAGCCCCTACCCCTTGCTCCCTCTGTAGCCCCTACCCCCTGCTCCCTCTGCATCCCCTACTTACTCTGTAACTCCTACCGTTACACTTACTACAACTCCTATCATCCCAAGGCACCATCTACAGCCCCAACCCCCCTGCTCCCTCTGCATCCCTACCCCCCTGCTCCCTCTGTAGCACCTATCTTTACACCTACTACAACTCCTATCATCCCAAGGCACCCTCTGCAGCCCCTGCCTCCTGCTCCCTCTTCAGCCCCTACCCCCGCTCCCTCTGCAGTCCCTGTTCCCTGCACCAGACCCCTGCTTCTTCTGCAGCCCCTACTCCCCTGCCCTCTCTACAGCCTCTACCCCCTGCACCTTCTGCAGCCCCTACCCCATGCTCCATCTCCAGCTCCTACACCCCACTCCCTCTGCAGCCGCTATCCCCTGCTCCCTCTGCAGCTCTCACTCCCTGCTCCCGCTGCAACCCCTACACCCCCTGCTCCCGCTGCAGCCCCTACCCTCCTGCTCCCTCTGCAGCCCCATCCCCCTGCTCCCTCTGCAGCACCTACCCCCCTGCTCCCTCTGCAGCCCCTACTGTCCTGGCTCCCTCTGCAGTCACTACCCCCTTGCTCCCTCTGCAGCACCTACACCCAATCCCTCTGCAGCCCCTACTCCTCTGCCCTCTTTGCACTCCCTACCCCCTGCACCCAGCTCCCTGCTCCCTCTGCATCCCCTACCCCTGCTCCCTCTGCAGGCCCTACCCCCCCTGCTCCCTCTGCAGCCCCTACTCCCCTGACCTCTCTGCAGCCCCTAATCCCCAGCTGAGATCCTACCCCCAGGTACCCACTACAGCTTCTATATCCTATGCACCCAATACAGCCTCTATACCCTATGCACCAACAACAGCCCCTACACTCCCTGCGCTTACTACAGCTCCTATTTCCCTTTGCAATCACAACAGCACCTACTACACTTTGCACCACTACAGCCTATCCCTTCACTGCACCCACTACAGCCTCTCTTCCCCACGTAACCTCTACAGTCCCTCCCCCCTGTACCCTCTGCAGGCCCTTCCCCATGCACCCTCTACAGCCCCTTCCTCTCGGCACCCTCTGCAGTCCCTATCCATTTGCACGCACAAGCATAAAGGAACACTATATTTACTAGAACAACTACAGCTTAATGTAGTTATTCTGGTGAGTATAGTCTGCCTCTGCAGGGTTTTTGCTGTATAGGCTGCCTTTTCAGAGAAAAGGCAGTGTTTACATTGCTGCCTAGGAACATCTAGGTGCTTCCTGTGTCAGTGTTGCAAAATGTGCAGAACTGACATTGAGCATCGCTGAACACTTGTCATAGAGAAGAACTGATTCAATGCATCTATATGAGGAGATGGTGATTGGCACAGCGTAGTGTTTTGCCGGGCAAGCACAGTAGCCTTCCAGTGCTTTCCTATGGTAGTGCGTTGGGTTGGCTGAGATCATCTAAATTGATGAACTCTGCCAAGGTGTTTGGTCGGTGATGGAAAAAAGGTGAGTAAATCACGTTTTTAAGGGGGACCAGAAACCTATAGCGTCAGGAATACACTTTTGTATTCCTGACACTATAGTGTTCCTTTAATGTGGCTTGTAACATTTAACACTTGATTTGTAATTTAAGACACATTTGGAGGCCTGCGTAACTCATACAAACACATTGCCAAAATTCACAAATACCCCTTTATACAAACTGCCATGCTACACAAACACACATAAAACAAATACTACCCTATTTACAAAATCACAAACATGTATTCAAATATACTATGAATCCACATATCCTGACACTACACACAAACATAGGCGTGCGCACGGGGTGTGCCGGGAGTGCCTGGGCACACCCTAATCCCCGCGGCACTCTTATGGATTGAGACCGGCAGGGGAGATCTCAGGATCTCCCCTGTCGGCTCATGCAGAGCCAGCGCTATCCGAGCGCCGGCTCTGCTCTAAGCCTCCATGGCCGGTGGGGAAATCAGAGATCTCCCTCACCGGCCCACAGCAGCATGGAGGGAGGCAGGAGAGGACCCGGGGAGCTCCAGCCAGCAGCTCAACGCTCAGATCTCGCGAGAGTGAACTCTAGCCCCGCAGGTTAGAGTTCACTCTCCACTGAACCACCAGGGATGGCAGCAGCAACAAAGATCCCCCCTCCCTTCATAAGGTTCCCTTGTATTAAGTAATCTGCCCCCACCTCCACTGGACCACCAGGGATGGCAGCAGCAACAAGGATCCCCACCTCCCTACATAAGGTAAGAAGGGAGGGGGGTATTAAGTAATCTGCCCCCACCTCCACCCCCACAATCACCCAAACATACAGAACACACACATACAGCACCCTCGCACATACAGCACCTACACACATACAGCACCCTCACACACACAGCACCTACACACATACAGCACCCACACACACACAGCACCCTCACCCACACGGCACCCACACACATACAGCACCCACACACACATACAGCACCCTCACACACACACAGCACACTAACAGCACCCTTGCAAACACACACAAACACAGCACCCTTACAAATACACAACACCCTCACACAAAGCACATTAACAGCACCCTCACAAAGACACACACACAGCACACTCATACACAAACAGCACACTAACAGCACCCTCACAAACACACCCTGGGCACACCCTAATCCCTGCGGCACGCCTATGTATTGAGACCGGCAGGGGAGATCTCAGGATCTCCCCTGTCGGCTCATGCAGGCAGGAGAGGCAGGAGAGGACCCGGGGAGCTCAACCAGCAGCTCCGCCGGGTTCTTCTAACGAGATCTGAGCGTTGCCGCGGCAATGCTCAGATCTCGCGAGAGTGAACTCTAGCCCCACAGGACCACCAGGGAAAGCAGCAGGAACAAGAATCCCCCCTCCCTACATAAGGTAAGAAGGGAGGGGGAATATTAAGTAATGGACCCCCACCTCCACCCCCCACAATCACCCACACACATACAGCACACACACACATACAGCACACACATACACACAGCACCCACACACACACAGCACACACACACACACATACAGCACCCACACACACACACAGCACACACACACATAGAGCACACGCACAGCACCCGCACACACATACAGCACACACATACAGCACACACACACATACAGCACACACACACACACAGCACACACACACACATACACAGCACACTCACACACATACAGCACACACACACACAGCACACACATACAGCACCTACACACATACAGCACAGCACACACACAGCACACACACAGCACACACATACAGCACCCACACACACAGCACCCTCGCACATACAGCACCCACATACATACAGCACCCTCAAACACACAGCATCCTCTCACACACAGCACAGAAACAGCACCCTCACAAACACACACACACAAACACCCTCACACACACATAGCACACAAACAGCACCCTCACACACACATCACACTAACAGCACCCTCACACACAGTACCCTTACACACACCCACACACAGCACCCTTACACACAAAACACGCTCAAACCACCCTCACGCAGCACACACACACACACACACACACACACACACAGCAGTGTATGTATGTGTGTGTGTGTAAATATATATATATGTATATATGTGTGTGTATGTGTATATATATATATATATATATATATATATATACACACATACATATACACGCTGCGTGTGCTTGTGCTTTAGGGTGCACACCCTAATGCAATAGGCTGCACACGCCTAAGAGCATATATATCGGTCTGCATGGGTCCCAGGTGCTAATTTTGCCTAGGGGCCCAGGCCACTGTCAGTGCTGCACACTGTGCAAAACTGACCCTGGAAGCGGCTCTAGTGACTGCCTAAAGATTGTTCCTAGGCTGTAATGAGAGGTGTTTCTAGGCTGTAATGTAAACACTGTCTTTTCGCTCAAAAGGCAGTGTTTACAGAAAAAAGCCTGCAAGGACATACTATACTCACCAGAACAAATACATTAAGCTGTAGTTGTTCTTGTGACTATAATTTCCCTTTAAATTTTATTTGTAATTTATTTTTGTGATTTCAAGTTCAATAAATCCAATGACTTGGATTTTGGATTATTTAACTGTCTAATGAGTACAATTAGTGTATTTAGTTTTCTTTGTCATCAGTGATAGCTCTCTCTGAAGGACTAACTTGGCATCAATTATTCATATTCCATTAACTGCCTTCCATTAAGAATTATTCAATAGTAATAGGAAAACATTTGTTTTCTCAGAACGTTATTCTTACTTTTCACAAAGTGCATATTACTATTATTGTCATTTGTATTGGTTTATTAACCTCTTGCTTATTAGCAATGTAGATAATTTTCATTTTGAATTAAGAAACATGATAAAATTTAGCTCATAAAACCCCAATAACCTTTGCTTCTGTGCTGATTTTAAATTTATCTAACCAGGCACCATTCTAACCCTCTGAATCTTTGATGAAGGACTGAAAGTGACCTTACATCAACTTTTGTAGGTTAAACTGCATGGCAGCCTTCTAGCAGCAAATGTAGTGGGAAGTATCTGAGAACATTAAGCAAACTACAGTACATGAGCTTTCTTCATGTGGGTGCAATGCCAACATATCTGCATTTCTTTTACAATTTGGTAGCTGTATACTAAAAAAAATAAATGTCAAGTTCTTTACAAACACCCATACACAGGGAATTTGACAATTTGTATTAATCTATTTTTTAACTCCTACTACATGAGACAATAATGTTAATCATGCTGATATGCAAATATTGTAGATCCAATTTGAAATATTATGCAAAAGACTAGGCAGATTGTCCTCTCGTAATCCAAATGCAGCATAAATTGCAAAAACAAAATAAAAATAAATGTCTGTGTGGAGCCAGGTGCTGAGGTTGCCTAACAAAATACATTGAAAAATGTAAAAAATATACTTGGCTGGCCCAGATGACACCAGATGAACTTCAGTGCTCATCAGAAATTAAATGTGAATTATTGCATGATAACAGGTGCAGTACATTCTCTGAATATTTAATGACACATTTTTGTAATAAAAAATAAATATATATATATAAAAAGAAAATTACAAAATAAAATATATATATATTAAAATTGTTTAAATTTGAAAATACATTTTACATTCATAAACATCAACCTATACATGATATTAAAGTTGTATTTATAGGTGAACTGTTTATCTTATGTTTGAAGTAAATGTTATACAAAATATATTATATTTTTTTTAAATGAAATTAACTTAGTCGGTAGTTAAGAGGTTATGAACACAACTGTGTTTGTCTGGAAAAAAACCACAACAACAAACTTTAGTATGAGTTAACAGAGCACACTAGTATTTACAGTATTAAAAAATATATTTACATATTCAATACTCTCAGTGAATTTGTCAGTGGCTTTCGTTCACATGCATGTCTAATATTTCTTCATATTTTAAAGGCACCCGGACCACTTAATCCCAATGAAATGGTCTGCGTGAAGTTGCCAGCATGGTGAAGGCTCAAAGGTAAGTAATACTTGCCTTTCAAACATTCACAGGAGGCGGGATGCCTAAATAGGTAGGGGAACACTATAGCATTAGGAAAAAATTTATGTATTCCTATAGCAAAGGGCTCTATTTCTCAGGTATGTATATTTTTGTTTATGTACATGGAATTATCACCATGCACCATGATGTCATAAACACATTCATGCTTATTAATTGATGCACAGGGATTAGCAGCCGATTAGGGAACAGCTAAAAGATCTCAGCCACCCCCTTTATGTATAACAAAAAAGTTCAATTATTTTTATAAATGTGGAGCATAACAGTGACAATGTCACATGTATATACACTTTTAAAGAGAAAGATGGCTTTGGCTAGTTCTGCAGAATGGGTACTAAACAGCTTAGTCATTAGTCACATAGAATAAATTTAGAGGGTATGTAATGCCACACTTGGCCCTCTCTAAATAGCTGCATGTCTTGAAACGGAAATGCCGTAGGTGAATATGTAACGAGGAATAGTTAACAACTCCGATTAAAGAGATTCGAATTTCACCATAAGACACGTTGGAAGTATCAGTTTTCTGTGGATTTGTTTGAAGCCTGGTCCATGCATCTACTGTTATGTTGGACAATGAACAATGAAGTGTATTATGAATAAAACAACAAAAAATATATGGGCCATTCATATTACATATCAGAACAAAATAAGCGTAATTACATAACATAAGTTCAAATACTAATTGTTACTATATATCTAACATGTATGTATGTACAAATATGCATATTAGATTTTGAATGGCAAGTGAGTTTTGACACTCAAATAAAGTAAATCTTGGAACAAATTGGGAATTAAATTGCAAAAAAAAATTAAACGAGCACTTTTTGTCTATATATTGCAATTTAATTTAGTGTAAATAAAACCCTGAGTGAATTTTGTATCTCAGGCCAAAACAATCTCAAACCCAGTTATGATTGTCATATTGGGTCTCCCTCCTCCCCCTCTCCCCCCCCACCAAAAAAAAAAAAAATGAATACACTTTCAATTCCCATCATTTCACAATGTAATGAAAAACCTTGAAAGTTTTAATTCCGCACCATTGATATGATTGAATTGAAAAAAGCAGCAATATAATATTAATTCAACAAACAAATGATTAAGGACTTGATTTTAATATCTGTGACCCATTTAAGCGGATACTTGTTAACCCTTTGATAGCACTGTCCACTGTACTGTAAATGTGAGTTGTAAATGTGAGTTACTGTAAATGTGAGTTAAATATTCTATAAAAGTCACAATACATTGCGCCAAACAGTGTTTAGTGATTAAATAATTTCTGTGACCTGACTACAGCTTAACAGTGAAGTCACTCACCAATCTTGGCTAGGGAAGCCAAGAGGATCCATAGTGTTATTTCAAATGGGATCTGTACATGGGGGTAATCCAAAGTGAAGACTGGCAGCCTGGATTCTTTATGGGTAACTTCATACTTGGGTGTTGAGTTTAAGTTGACATTAGTGTTACTGGCAGACAAACTGGCAGTAGCATGAGGCAAGGCTACCCAGCACGTAATGACACACACAAGCAATGTGTGTACCCAAGAAGGGCAAGACACAGGGGGTAGCATGTTCCAAGTGGCACAGTGCTTGCCCTCTAAATTCAGCCAGTGTCGTTTCACAGCAGATGGCCTCTCAGGTGTGCAGAGCTGTTCCCATTCTGTTACAATAACCTTTAAATTATCCAGATACAATATAGCTGTGTATACACAGTGCTCCTGAATTGCCTAGAAAAGGCAGCAGAGAAATCTCAGTACACTCGCTTCCTTGTCTCCCAGCCAGCTAATACTATGTAACAGGTGCCGAGAGACAGAGCACACCCTCCACTTCTGATCTAACTCCCTCTCAGCTCTGGACCCACCTTCCTCCCACTTCCACAAGCCTGCTCTGCATGTCAGTTTCCTTTAGAGCTCTTAGCTCAAATAAACAGTGTAACAGAATGAATGCACTTAGGGGAACCCATGGCTTTGTACAGGAGAAATGAAAAGATCATTAGTTCTAAGGCAGGAAAAATACAACAATGCAGGCTTATACTCAATGCACAGAGAGACACTTATTTTGAGAATAAGCTCACATTTTTTTAGTGAATAACCTTGGATATTAGAGGTTTTGGACAGAAGTAGTTTTGTGAGTTTATCTAAAATAAAATAAAAATGATAAATGACAGGTATGGACTACAGCTCCAATTAGTCTGTTTTTTTATTTTTATGCATGCCATTGTATTAAGCAAGAATTATGTATATAGTGTTTTAGTGTCTTTAAATAAACCCTCCATTATGCCAATATATCCGTCTGGTGGTTCTTCAGTTCTACAGAATAGAACCTAATGAAGGAAGTTTAATAAGGTCTCAGCAAAGATGCATGTTAAACGCATCACCAGTACAACAGTATGCAAGCAAGAATGACAATACGTGAGTCGATTATCTATAGGACTAATGGATAATAATAATTTTATTTTTTATAAACAACAAACATAAGGATTCTTTCTATTTTTTTGTTTGTTTATCAAAGCAAAGTCTGTCTGCATTCAATCTTTAGCTCTAAGATGCTTGTTTGTAGCTAGTTATTTCACTTCAGCCAGCCAGCCACTAAGAATTTCCCACAGAAGAAATAGATTCTGTATTTGAATGTATTTGATGTCTGGAGTCAGCATGCAAAGTATGCTGGGTGCAGTGGCGTAGCTAGAAAGCATGGGGCTCCGGTGCAAAAACCAGAAAAGCATGTATGTGTGCAAACTGTCTCATCATATTAACATTTTACCTTTCAAAAGAACCTGGCCCTTTTATAAATTAATCTTGTTACGCCCCCTGGCAGTTATTTCCTGGTTTGGTTGGCTCAGTGGAGAAAAACTCAAGAGGCAGACTTCTCAAAACTCAAGAGGCAGACTTCTCATTGAGCTGCATTGGGAAGTCTGTGATTGGACAGCCACAGTAAGTCTCTGGTAGTTTAGATAAAGACTTGCAAAGTCAGCAGACAAGAGAACTGCAGCTTCATCAAGCTGTTTTTAAATATACCTCCAATGCATACATGTTTTCATTGGGGGTTAAAGCTGCTGCCTTGCAGGGTTGTGGCAGTTGTGTTCTACTAGTAGTAATGTACTAACAAAGGTATGGTAGCCCCTCCACACCCCACCCCCACCCTGGGC